CTCAATACACTATTAATCGCATGAATAATGAAATAAACGACATGAAATGATACAAAAATAACGACAGAACAATAAGAAAAATCAGGACAAAAAGGTACAAACAGTCCGGTTCAACGAACCGGCCCTTAGGAAGCCGGTTCAGGGCAGGTTCAGGCCTGGCCGGGACCGGTTCACGGGTCGGTCCGGTCCGTGGACATCTCTACATATATATATATATTAATATATTGTAACAAAATAATAAGACAATATATATATACACACTATATTTCACGTATAAAATAAATAAAAATTTTATACATTTGGTCAACCAATTAGAATATTGGTCCGATTAGTGAAACATTGAACCGATAGTTTCATCGATTCGATGAGTGGTCCAATTATAAAAGAGGAAATAGCTATTTTCACCCCGTTCTGAAATCATACTAAGTTTTTTACACCAGCCAATAAAAAGCTAAGTTTTTCACCCCAAAAAGTACGAAGACATATGCGATGAACTTTGCGCTAAATAGGCGACAGGTATGAGCATGGGCGAGAAAATTATGAGTTAAAGTATGCGACTGTTCTACGATGAATATTCGGAGATTCGATGTACGATTCGGTCAATCGCGGTCCGTCGCCCATTAAATAATTATTTTTGTTCGGCGAATGAACTGCGACTAATAGTCGGAAAAATTATTCTGCGACACAACTGCGACATGCCAACGTCGCATATTATTCGCGGAATTAGTGCATAATAAGTTTTTTTCGTATTTATTTCATCTTTCAGTTATGCGAGGCGGTATGCGAATTACCGCATATTGCTCGCATACCCCCTTCGCACTTCTACTCGAAAGTGTATTTTGTATTTATTATTTTATTTCTTTCATCTTTCAGTTATTTCAGTTATGCGATGGGGTATGCGAATTGCCGCATATTACTCGCATACCACCTTCGCACTTCTACTCGAAAGTTTATTTTTTATTTCTTTCATCTTTCTGTTATTTCAGTTATGCGATGGGGTATGCGAATTACCGCATATTGCTCGCATACCCCCTTCGCGCTTCTACTCGAAAGTTTATTTTTTATTTCTTTCATCTTTCATCTTTCATCGATCGAAAGTTTATTTTTAAAATTTATATTTTTGAATGGTTTAGAAACCGCTGGCAGTTGGAACGTTACGGCCGATTTCGAGGCGTCTTATCTGCTTTTCAAAATGCCTGGGCAGTAAAAGCGTGCACGCGAATCGTTTCATCCGTCTATATAAACCGTGTAATCTTCGATCCATATAATGCCACTTCTCTTACTACCCATCTGTCCCACAAAACTCTTTGTTAATGGCCCTCCGTTTTTCCCTTTTCTTGTATATGAGAAGCAGTTCGCCGGAGATAAACCAGAGTTACAAAAATTCTTTCTTTCGACCCGTGAGGCAATTCTTTAAGATTACTGTGTCCAAATTGAGAACTCCTAACCTTTTGAATTCGTTGGAGGAAAAAATTCAACGAGCGGAAATTCCGCTATCCAACTTTATTAACTTGGCCCCGGCAGGAAACATATATGCCGAGACAGCGACGATGAAGATCAAACCTCCGGGCCCAGGTATTGTCGTATCAACTGTGAGAAGGTTGAAGGTCGGAACGGCGCGCATCGGAGGCTGGGGCGTAACGGCCCGGCCCTCTGTCAGAGGCAATGCTGGCCTCAACCTCTC